AGTTACTTGCTGCAGGATTTTTAACCTCCGAATTACTCTTGTAGCCACAAAAACAAAGTTGCTGGAAAAGCTCAGCAGGTCTGGCAGCATCTGTGAAGGAAAATACAGAGTTAACATTTTGGGTTCGGTGACTCTTCCTCAGTTCTGAAACGTTAACTCTGATTTTTCCTTCACAGATGCTACCAGACCTGCTGAGCTTTTCCAGCAACTTTGTTTGTGTTCCTGATTTACAGCATCCGCAGTTCTTTCAGTTTCTACTCTTGTAGCCACTTTATTTATATGGCTAGTCGAGCTTAGTTTTTGGTCATTGTTAACCCCTAGGATGTCGATACTACATTTGACAATGAGCCATATAAACAGAAATAAGGGTGATATACCAAAAGCTTTGTCAAAGAAGCATTTTAAAAGTGAAAAAGGTGTAAAGTTTAGAGCTTTGCACCAAGACAGCTGAAAATATAGCCACCAATCTTAAGGCTAAATGGATTCCACAGGAACCAGAATTGGAGGAACGTAGAATTCTTGGAGTTGATTGATGGAACTAGCTGTTGAAGGAAGCTTGGTGAGTCACTACATTGCATCTTGTCAATGTTAAATGCTATGTTGGCGAATGCTTACAGTGGTGCATGGGATGTCAATCAAACAGACTGCTTTGTCTTGATCGTATCAAGGTTTTTGAATGTTACTGGAGTGACAACCATCCAGACAATTGGAGAGTTTTACACTCCTGAATTGTGCCTTGTAGATAGTGGCCTGGCATTGGTGGGACAGTCACTGTTGAGGATCACTGCATGTATTACTGATATCATCATGTATGGAGATTTCCCATGGCTCGAGACAGCGTCATAAAGTTGTACAGCATGGAAACAGACCCTTCGGTCCAACTTGTCCATGCCGACCAGATATCCTAAATTAATCTAGTCCTATTTGCCAGCATTTGGCTTACATCTCTCCAAACCCCTTCCACTCATGTACCCATCCAGATGGCTTTTAAATGTTGTAATTGTACCAGCCTTCACCACTTGAGAGAGGGAATTCAGAAAATAATGAGAACCAAACCAATCTGTTTTCTGTGTCCTAGCTGTTTGGAGATTGCTGCACATAGAGAAAGGAACTAATAAAGACTCCCAACAATCCCTTACTCGGGTAAGTATATGAAGGCAGAATATACCAGACAAATTGGTCAGTGCATTGAGTATAGGAGTTGGGAGGTCATGTTGTGGCTGTACAGGACATTGGTTAGGCCACTTTTGGAATACTGCATTTGATTCTGGTCTCCCTGCTACAGGAAGGTTGTTGTGAAACTTGAAAGAGTTCAGAAAATATTTACAAGGATGTTGCGAGAATTGGAGTGTTTGAACCATAGGGAGAGGCTGAATAGGCTGAGGCTATTTTCCCTGGAGTGTTGGAGACTAAGGGATGACCTTATAGAAGTTTATAAAATCATGAAGGGTATGGATAGGGTGAATAGCCAAGGTCTTTTCCCCAGGGTAGGGGAGTCCAGAACTAGATGGCATAGGTTTAAGGTGAGAGGGGAAAGTTTTAAAAGGGACCTAAGAGGCAACTTTTTCATGCAGAGCGTGGTGCATGTATGGAATGAGCTGCCAGAGGAAGTGGTGGAGGCTGGTACAATTACAACATTTAAAATGCATCTGGATGGGCACATGAATAGGAAGGGTTTAGAGGGATATGGGCAAATGGGACTGGATTAATGTAGATATCTGGTCTACAAGGACAATTTGGACCAAAGGGTCTGTTTCCATGCTGTATAACTCTATGACTCTATATCTGGTACCAAGCAATGGCCAGATCAGATAATCTAATATAAAATTGGATGTCTAGCTACCCTGTGCTTCGGGGGAGGGGGAGGGGGTAAAAGAGATAAGTCTCTTGGCACAGATTATTCAGCCTCTGACCTGTTCTTGTAGCCATAGTGTTTACATGGCTGGTTCAAATGTGTTTTCTGGCCGATGGTAAATCTAGGATGTTGACCGTAGGGATTCAGCACTCAATGCTATTCAATATTAAAGGGAGATGGTTTGATACTATTTTTGTTGGAGAATGATATGATCATTACCGGCTACTTAAGTGGGCAAGTGTCATTTATGTCACACGTCAGCCTAAGACTGAATGTTGTTGATCTCTTGCCTTGTGCAAGTACAGACTGCTTCGGTATCTGAGGAATTGTGAATGGTACGGAAAAATGCGATCATTACCAAACATATCCACTTCTGACCTTGCATTGAAGGTAGGGGTCACTGAAACAAATGAAGATGGTTTGGCCTGGAACTTTATTATTCTGAGGAACTCTAGCAGTGATGTCCTGGAATTGAGATCATTGCCCCCAGCAACCCTAGCCAAGTTTTCTTTGTGCTAGGTATAACTCCAATGAGTGGATAAATTTCCCCTATTCCAATTGCCATCAATGTTGCAGGGCTCACTGATGCCATCCTGGGTCAAATGCTATCTTTACGCTCACCTGATTTCTTTTTTGGTAGTTAAATCAAGGTTGCAATGAGATCTGGAGCTAAGTGGCCAGCGCAGAATCTAAACTGCATCAGTGAGTGGATTCTTGCTGGTCAAGTGCTGCTGGATGTCACACCACTGATGATTGAGAGTAGACTGATACAGCAGAAAGTGGATGGATTGGATTTATCCTGCTTTTTGTGACATAACCTACCTGGACAATTTTCCACATTGTTAGGTAGGTGTCAGAGCTGTACTAGAACAAGAGATGCAAATAGTTCTAGAGCACAAGTATTCTAGCTACAGGGCCTTTGTTGGAAATATTTATCATTGTATCACATCGCGTGAAGAAATTGTCCGAAGTTTAGTATCTGCGATGCTGGATAACTCCGGAAAAGGCTGAGATGCACATCCACTCAGCACTCTGTCTAGGGATAGTTGTAAACATTCTAGCCTTGTTTTTTTCACACTGACATACTGGGGTCCACTAATATTGAGAACGAGGATGTTTTTGCAGCGTCCTCCATCAGTTATTTAATTGTGCACCAGCATCATATCTGAATGTGGCAGGGCTGCAGAGCTTCAATCTGGCCCATAGGTTGTGGGATGACTTGGCTCTGCCTATATTGTTCTGTATTCGCTGTTTGCATGTTAGTCCTGTGTAGTAGCTTCACCAACTTGGCACCCCGTTTTTAGCTTTAACTGTCGGTGCGTCTGGTTTATTTTCCTATGATCCTTTTTGAAGTAGAGTTGGTCTTGCGGCTTGACGGCAATGGTAGAGTGAGGGATATGTGGGCCATGAGGTTACAGATTATTGAATGAAAGTCTGCTACAGCTGATGGCTCAGAATGCCTCGGAGATGACCAACTTTTGAGCTACTAAACCTGCCCTGAATTAATCCCACTTTTCAAGTGTTAGTAGCATACAACACAATGGAGGGTGTCCCAGTGTGAAGACAAGAATTTGTCCCCAGAAGGACTGGACTGTGATCACTCATCTGTAAGAAGTAGATTGGTGAGGACAAAGTCATGCAGGCTTTTCTCTCACCACCTTCTGTAGGACAACTTTGGTAGCCAAATGGGTCTTTAACAGTGTCACTCTTGGTGAAGGTCTTTAAAGTCCCCAGCCAGTGTCTTTAGTGGCATAATGCCTCTTTCCAGTAGTATCCAACATGGAAAGTTCTGCTTTGTCAGCTGAAGAAGCATGCAGGTGGGACAGAGCATATGGAAGGATGGTGATGGAGCTGTCTGCAACATTGCTGCGAAATGTGAATCTGAGAGAATAACTATATCATGCTATCGCTTGGCCAGTCTGTGGCACAGTTCTCCCAGATAATGGGGAGCATTCACTTGGGAGGCTGTGTTTCCTATTGTTTCCGGTGTGAAGGCTGATGCTGGGTGATCTGTATTATTGTTATTCAGCTTTTGGTGGTAATTTTGAATGATGGTGGCTTGCTAGATTATTTCAGAGGGTATTTGAGAGCCAACCACATCTAAAATCACATGTTGGCCAGGCTAAGCAAGGACAGCAGATTGCCTTCCCAAAATATCTTTGTTGATCAGAGCTTTGAATACAGGTTGTTGACGAGGCCACTTTGAGTACTGTTTACAGTTCTAGTCACCCTGCTATAGGAAGGATATTAATAGATTGGAGAGAGTGCAGAAAAGATTTACAAGGATGTTACAGGGACTGGAAGGTTTGAGTTATAAGGAGGCTGGATAGGTTGGGATGCTTTTCACTGGAGCATAGGAGGTTGAGGGGTGACCTTATCAAGGATTATAAAATCATGAGGGGTATAGATAAGATGAATAGCAAGGTCTTTTCCCTAGAGTAGTGGAATTCAAAACTCGATGGCTTATTTGTAAGGTGAAAGGGGAAATATGTAAAAGGGACCTGAGGGGCAAATATTTCACAGAGAATGGTTCATATGGGGAATGAACTGCCAGAGGAACTGTTAGGTGCAGGTACACCTACAATATTTAAAAGACATTTGGACAGGTACATGAATAGGAAAGGGTTAGGGGCAAACGCAGGCAAATGGGACTAGTTTCATTTGGGGAACTTGGTCAGCATAGACAAGATACACTGAAGGGTCTGGTACTGTGCTGTATGACTCTAAGGAGCATTAGTGAATCAGATGAGGCTTTAGGACAATCTGGTAGTTTCACCATTATTATTATTGTGAATTGACCATTTTATTTCAGGTTTATTAATTAATAGAGTCCAAATTTCCCCAGATCCAGTAGTGGCATGATCCTCGAGTAATTGTTAATGCCTGTAGTTTATTGATTTAGTGACATCACTACTATTCAATTATCCCCTATTTTAATATTATTTACTTGTAAAATTTTATTTTACTTATGTATATTTTTAAAAAGTTCCTTTATTAGATGTGCCTCTTTAACAAAAGTAAAGAGTTTTTTACATCTCTTGGGACTCCGCTTTCATCCCTATTGACAATATCCTTTTCCTTTGGTATAGCCGAATGGTTTTGATTGACATTTGAACAGCCCATTCAACTTTAGAGATAATCGGGAACGCTGTTGTCCTATGGTAGTAGAGGATAAAAGTTGGAACTTCGGCTCCGGATGTTGATTGGGCCTTTGGACACAGAGCCTACTCTCCTGCAAGCCTGCATTTTATTGGCCTGGGCAAACCTGGGCCTCCAAATTGTTCACCCCTTTCAAGCTGCGGGGAAGTTAGACCAATGAGAAGCGGTGACACAAAGCGGCGGCGGAAGCAAGGGGAAGGCCGGCTGCGAGACGGCTCCTGATTGGCGATTTGGTAACAGCAGGAGCATTGTGAGCAGCTGATGACCAATGAGGAGCGCGGAGAGAAAAGTGGGTTTGGCTGCGCCTGGCGCCACCAAAGTGGGTGCAGGGAGACGGCGGCCATTTTGTTTCGTCAGACGCCGCGGCAAGAGAGAGGAATTTTCTTTATAGAATCCAAAGTGTCCTTTTTTTTACCTTTTGCCAATCGGTTGGAGCGGTGCACTTATTTATTTTTTCCTTCACGTGGCCTCCCACATTACTGAGCCGTTTTTTTCGGTTGGTGGTTGTGCATTTTTAAAAGAAATTAAGAAAATAGTTTTAATTTAAATAAACGGGAATGAGTTCGCTGGACGTGCGGAAACTAAAAGTGAACGAGCTCAAGGAGGAGCTGCACAGACGCGGCCTTGACACAAAGGGCCTCAAGGCGGATCTGCAGGAGCGGCTGCAGGCAGCTCTGGACCGTGCCGCTGAGGAAGAACAAGAAGCAGCCAAAGCCGCCGCCACTGCCGAACAGCGACGACAGGAGGAGGCGGAGAGAGCGCGGGCAGGTGAGGCCTAGGCGCGCATGCGCGGAGCCTCCGGCAGGTAAGCCGGCTGTGCGCAGGCGTGGATCCCGCCCACAGACTCACCTTGAAAGGGAGAGGGTGGGGGGAAGGGGGTGCTGGAGTGAGATATTCTTTTTGCATTCGGTCGCTGATCTCATCTACTTCCTCCCCCTTTTAAATTACTCGACTGTTGGTTCTCAACCCATAATGCACTAGAATCTGCAGTTAAAATAAAACAAAGAACTGAGGGTGCTGAAGATCTGAAACAGAAATGGCTGGAGAGATTCAGCATCTGCGGAAAGAAAGCAGTTCCGAGTTTCGACTCCAGTGAATCTGCAGTTATTCTGCATGGAAGTCTTTTTGTTTTCAAGAGGAATCATCCAGTTGTTTGATTTCATGGAAAGGCTAATGCCCCATTTTAGCTTTTAGTAGACTGCATTCTATTATGCGCTTATTTACAGAGTCTTAAGCGCAGCAGAATGGTTGTTTACCCCCTTCTGTTAGCCTGACATGTGCTGGAAACAGATTCCGTAGTTGGTCTTGAAAGAGAATTTGATATGAACCATAACTAGAATCTCTCTTCCCCCAAAGCCATGAGTACCTGGTGGATCAAGTAACCAGACAGGCAACAGATGAACTTTGTAAAAGAACAAAAACAGTTCTGAGGAAGAGTTGCTGGACTTGAAACATTAATTCTGATTTCACTCCGCAGATGCTGCCAGACCTGCTCAGTTTTTCCAGCAATTTCTGTTCATGTGGATGTAAAAGAGAGTTTTGGCTCCTGTCCTTCACTGATTTGATTCATCCCTTTTGGATGAGTTGCAGCACCTGTCAGCTATGCTGTGATGTGATCGTTCAGTCCTGCGATTGTGCAGTCAACTGACAGCAATGTCCATGTCAATCAAACATTACGGAGTTTCACAGCTTATCTTGCCCTTCTTGTTGAAATTGGCAAGTGTTGTGGCAAAGTTAGAGTGACTTGTCCTGATCTTTCTCAGTGCATTTTTTTTAAAGGAATTGTAGCAACCTCCACTTTGACAACTTCCTAAACACACTGTTCCTCTGATTTTGGTCTCTTGTGTTTCCTGTAATTCTACCACTTCACTCAGTTGGTAGTTGTATCATCAACTGAAAAGATTGTGAAGTCTGCAATTCTCTCCGCAAAGTTCTTTGGCTCTCCACTTGGAGTTGTAAAGATATACAGCACGGAAACAGACCCTTCGGTCCAACTCGTCTTTGCCTACCAGATATCCTAAATAAATCTATAAGACCATAGACCATAAGACATAGGAGCAGAAATTAGGCCATTCAGCCCATCGAGTCTGTTGCACCATTCAGTCATGGCTGATAAGTTTCTCCCATTCTCCCCATTCTCCTGCTTTCCTCCCGTAAACTTTGATACCCTTGACAATCAAGAACCTATCTATTTCTGTCTTAAATATATTCAATGATCTGGCCTCTACAACCTTCTGCGGCAATGAATTCCATAGATTCACCACTCTCTGGTGGAAGAAATTTCTCCTTATCTCTGTTCTAAAGGGTCTTGCCTTTACTCTAAAGCTGTGCCCTTGGGTTCTAGTCTCTCCCGCTAATGGAAACGTCTTCCCACTATCCGCTCTGTCTAGGCCATTCAGTATTGTGTAAGTTTCAATTAGATCCACCTCCTCCTCCTCCCCCCCCCCCAATCCTTCTAAATTCTGTTGAGTGTAGACCCACAGTCCTCAAACATTCCTCGAATGGTACGCCTTTCATTTCTGGGATTGTTCTCGTGAACCTCCTTTGCATTTGGCCCATATCCCTCTAAATCCTTCCTATTCATATACCCATCCAGATGCTTTTTAAATATTCTAATTGTACCAGCCTCGACCACTTCCTCTGGCAGTAAATTCCATACACTCAAAACCTTCTATGTGAAAAAGTTGCCCCTTGGGTCCCTTATGAGTCTTACCCCCTCACCTACTTGTCTTAATGTTTCTTTTTGCTCAGTGTCAATTTTGTCTGTTTACATACCTCAGAAGCATTTACATGGACTTTTCGTTATAAGAAAAACTGTATGCATGTAAGTTCTTGTGCAGGAAATAACAGTGATATCAGGAGAACAAACTCGCGACCTGGTGATGAAAGAGTATTTTAAAGCAGTGGGTTTTTAAAATTTGATTCTGACATCCAGATAGGTTGGGGTGAGGTGGCTCGTGATTGGTGATTTCTGAAGAAGTGTCACATTGGACTGGAAATGTTAACTCTGTTTCCACCCTGATAGATGCTGCCTGGCTTGCTGAATTTCTCACTCAATAAATGCGAGATACTGCGGTTGTTGGAATTTTAATTAAAGATTTACAGGAGAAACTCACTAGGTTTGGCAGCATCTTTGGAGAGAGACAGAGAGACAGTTGATCTGAATCCAGTATGACTTCTTCAGAACTGCTGCTGGATTTCTCCAGTATTTTGTGTTTTTATTTCCAAAATGTTGGATTAAAACTAGTGTTGCTATACTTTGATCAGGTTTACATTTAGGTCAAAAACTTTGAATTTGTGAAGCTTTCTGAATCTTTATTCTGAACTGTTGGCTGCCAGAGTTCGTTTCAAGGCCTTTTTCTTCAATAGGAAGTGGTTGTAGAAAAAAAACTGTTTGCTGCTGATGGACAAGGAAATCTTATAACCACTAGGGTAGGGAAGGCAGATTGGCTATGTTCAAATTGTTGAACAAAACGTAATCTCACAATTACCTTGAAACTATTTGGCTGGGTTGAGGAATTTAAACTTTGATTTATAGGTATCCTTTTCAGCAAAAGAATAGTTTCTGTGTTTTAGTCATCTTGAGCTGCATTGTTTTAACAAACATTGCATTTTTAAAAATTAATAGTTAACATATGGAATACTTAAATTTGAGGAGACCATGCATGGCACTTAAGCTATCAATTTCCGAAATGAAGAAATCGATTAACAGAGCTGCACAATAAATGATCATCCTTCTTGATTCGGCAATTAATTGCATGAGGGGAGAGGTTAGACCTCTGAACTTTCTGGAAATTCAGGTTTTAAACCCATGCTGCACTACTTTGCACTTCTTCCTCCCTCACCTCTTCCCATATCATGACTTCATTAGGACTTTCTGAGGACTTTTTTATTTTTAGGGATTCCTTGCAGTTAAGCATAAAGACATATTGACAGTGCAACACTGCATTTGATAATCTAAGAGTTAATGTTGCCAAGTTAAAGCATGAAATAATCAAATCCTGACAGTGCAGATAGAGGCCGTTTGGCCCACTGAGTTTTCACTGTCCCTCCGACAAGCATCCCACCCAGAACCAGTCTATCCACATAATCCCACATTTACCATCACTAATTCACCTAGCCTGCACATCCCGGAACACTACAGGACAATTTAGCATGGTCAATCCACCTAATCTGCACATTTTTGGACTGTGGGAGGAAACCGGAACACCGAGTGGAAACCCGCGCAAATGCAGGAAGAGCATGCAAACCCCACACAGACAGCCCCCTAAGGCTGGAATCAAACTTCAGACCCTGGCATTGTGAGGCAGCAGTGCTGTACCACCCCAAATGAAATTATGACATACAGAAGCCTTCCAGGACCTAAATCGTTAATGGGATAAAAGGAAAACAGCTTCAACTTATTAGGAGATTCCAACATACATAAACCACTGGATTGAGACAGCCAATTTGAAAATTGAATAAATGATCAGACTCAGTAATCTGTTACTGGTGAGGTTGAGAATTTTAAACAGAACTGTGCTGTACTTAATGCTGTTTATCTTTTGTTTGCACTCCCTGAACTCTCAAACAATGTTCTTCGTTTAACTTCTCATCTTTTAGGCAGTTATCACTTCAGTCCATCTAAACTGTATGTTCAAGTCTGCAGTTGGATTTCCAACCTGTGACTGTGAAGTGATGCCAGCCAATCTAAGGAACTGAATACTACGTTCTTCAATCTAAAAATATGTTTGAGGAAATGCTGAAGATAGTTAATAGGATACAGCCTTAAATATGGGAACAATAATAGGCAGTTTAGCTCCAAGACTGTTCCACCTTTTCGTAACTAATCTGTATACCTGCCTTTGACCCCTCTCCTCTTTTACTATCTTTGCTTAACAATAGAACAAACCTCATTTAAAATTAACAATTGTATTGCATAGTTGCCGATGCAGAAAATAAAGTGTTTCCTGATTTCATTCCTGAAAGAGACAACGCAGTGTAGAGCTGAAGGAACACAGCAGGTCAGGCAGCATCAGAGGAGCAGGAAAGTTGATGTTTTGGGTCCGACCCGAAATGTCAACTTTCCTGCTCCTCTGATGCTGCCTGACCTGCTGTGTTCCTTCAGCTCTACACTGCGTTGTCTCTGACTCTAGCATCTGCAGTTCTTGCTATCTCTGAGTGATTTATTCCTGAAAGGCCTTGTTCTAATTTTTAAACTGTGCTTTTAAGTTCTAGACTCCTTAACCAGCAGAAACAGTTTCTCCACATATACCCAATCCTGTTCTGTTTAGTATGTTAGAAACTTCTGCCCAGTCACCCTTTTCTTTTATAATTACAGTGGATACAGCCTTAGTTTGTGTGGTCTCATTTTCTAATTTAAGTCTTGGAATTTGGAGATTGTTGCAGCAAATCAAAGTTGAATTCCCAAAGCTAATATATCCTAAGGTTTGCCTAGAACTGCTCACAGATGTGGTCTAAACAAGGCCCTGCATTGCTGTATCACAACTTCTGTCCACTTATATTGTGGTCCATTCAATTTAAAGGTGGACATTCCATTGGACTCTGATTACTTCCTGTACCTGGTCATGACATTTTGATGATCTCTCTGGAACCCCGTGTCTCGCCTGTCTTTTGTTTTTAGTCCTTTTTAATTCTTCCTCCCTCACCTCTTCCCATATCATGACTTCATTAGGACTTTCTGAGGACTTTTTTATTTTTAGGGATTCCTTGCAGTTAAAGCCTCCAATAAAGGATATATTACCCACTTCCTATAAAACCCTTGTCTA